CTGGCGACAATGGGCCTGCGTCAATATGGGCGACATTTTCGGAACAACTGTGGAGAAAAAGTCAGCTGGGGAACTCGCCAGGCGCAAATGGAGATTTGCGTCCGAACATATCGGTGGCGAGGAGAGACAACACGAAGACTGCCCGATTTACGCGGGGTCAACTGCCGTCCCGCCCGACCTGAAGTGCAGCGGCTTTTACTGCATGGCGGGCGCGTCATCGAAGATTTCGGCAGAAGTGCTCGTGGACAAACGGGACTTCAAACTCGCTGACACTTACGGGCTGCAACGAAAAGCGGAGTGGCCATATCGCACTTAGCAGAAGTGGGACGCAGGCGGCGAGGGAAATCGAGGCAGGTACACCTCGGAAACAACTCGTGCGACACTGCGTGCCTGGTGTTGTTGCAAGCTGGCCGGGAGTATCGAGAGCGTTTTCTCCTGACCAGGGAACTCGTTTTCGGGGACAGCTGCTGACAACCCACGATTAAACGGCGTCCAAGGTACCGCCCGACAATTTCGGAGGGGTCGGTACAGGCTGCCGGGACACACGGGAAGAAACGGCCCAACGGCTAAGCGAGGGTTGAAGAACGTCGTGGGGAGCAGATTAAAAGCCGGTGGAATCGATCTGCGGCCCTACTTCGCCCGAACCTCACCATCCCCACCAAGTCTTAGTTCTGACTCATGCAGTCAACTTACTTGGCCGAATAACGGGGGTGAACACGCGCCTACCCTGTGCTGGTTAAAGACACCTGGATTGGTGTTCGTTCGACAGCTGTACAAAAAAAACAAAAAACAAAAACAAAATGGAGCTCGCGACACTGTTTTACTCCGACAAAAGCAGGCTAGGTGAACGGCACGCGAAAAAATCTGTCAGGATTATATTCTTAGACCTGCATGTAGTTCTAGCTGTAGTGTAGATATTAACTTTATAGGTGGTGCACCTCTTTGTTTGCTATATGTACCCTAGTGCTATAGTGAACATCCATTCTCCTCTCATCTCTCGACTCTCCCTCCTTGGCACGAACTAGCTCGACCCCCCTTTGGCCTAGGCTACTAAGCCTAGGCCCACTTAAACCTAACTACTTATGCCACTATTTCGACATGCTATCAGAGCCTGTTAAGTCCTGGCCTATGGGCCAGCCTCTCGCTTCCGTTGCTGTTTTTCCGGTCGCGCGCCTCGGGCGCGTGGCGATTTTCGTTCTGTCCCGCGCCCGGGTGGCGCGAGACGTTTTTTCTGCCCGTCGCGGACCCGCCCCTGGCGCCCGCGACGGCGCCCTAAGCCGCTGCGGACCCGCCCCTAGCGCCCGCGACGGTGCCCTGAGCCGCCGCGGACCCGCCCCTGGCGCCCGCGACGGTGCCCTGAGCCGCCGCGGACCCGCCCCTGGCACCCGCGACGGTGCTCTGAGCCGCCGCGGACCTGCCCATGGCGCCCGCGACGGTGCCCTGAGCCGCCGCGGACCTGTCCCTGGCGCCCGCGATGGTGCCCTGAGCCGCCGCGGACCCGCCCCTCGCGCCCGCGTCGGTGTCCTGAGCCGCCGCGGACCCGCCCCTGGTGCCCGTGCCGGTGCCCTGCGCCGCCGCGGACCCGCCCCTGGCGCCCGCGACGGTGCCCTGAGCCGCTGCGGACCCGCCCCTGGCGCCCGCGACGGCGCCTCTACCTAACCCCGCGCCTGCACTCACTGCAGCCGCCCTTGCCCTAAAGCGCGCCGACCCTCTGTAGCCGCTCTGCGGCTTTATCCCCGCCCCCCCCCCCCCCCTCCCCCCTCCTTCGTCTCCCTGCAGCCGTGGGAGGGAGGGTCTGGGGGTGGCAGGTGTGGGGGTGATGGGTGGTGTGTTTCCCTTCCCCTCCTCCTCCTTTCGTTCCCACTGCTGCAACTGCCGCTGGGGGGGAGGGTGTGGGGGAGCCAGGGGAGTGGCATTGGGGTGGCGGGTGTGAGACCAACCAGCCCCCGTCCCTCTGAGGTGGGGGGGGGGGGGGAGGAGAGTAAAGGGGTGGCAGGAGTGCCTTCCCCTTTGCTGCTGTACCTGCTCTGTTACCTTGCCTGCTGTTGCTGTTTTCTCTATCTGTGGTGTACCCCTGCAGGTTGTGTTATGTACTTAGCTATTCCTGCATGCAGTTACAGGGGGATGTCAGAATTATATTCTTATACCTGCATGTAGTTATAGCTGTAGTGTAGATATTAACTTTATAGGTGGTGCACCTCTTTGTTTGCTATATGTACCCTAGTGCTATAGTGAACATCCATTCTCCTCTCATCTCTCGACTCTCCCTCCTTGGCACAAACTAGCTCGACCCCCCTTTGGCCTAGGCTACTAAGCCTAGGCCCACTTAAACCTAACTACTTATGCCACTATTTCGACAAAATCGGGGCGCCGCAAGGACAACATTGGTGGAGTTTACGGATTTCTCCTGACCCGGGCGTCTACACGATTTGACGGCGCGGCGGCGAAGCTGAGACCGGGAAGCTGTGGAATTTTCGTGGCGTGATAGGCACGGCGGGCTGCAAAACGGTTGGGCGATATTTCCTTTTAACTAAGGCTACCCCGACTCCGATAGTTTTTGCCTCTCCAACGTGGCTGGGTTCGCGCGGGCAGCAACGACGATACCCCATCCGACAAGGGCGGACGCTGGGTGAACGGCGCAGGCGATATTGTCGGGGGGTGAATACGAAAAAAAAATCGACGGAGGGAAAGTTGTGGGTGATCCGGCAGATCACTGGAGTGTGGTTGAGCCCAAGCATCACTCTACCGTGAATTTCGGGGTCTACTAGGTGGACGCCGAAAGGGTCGGATATTCTAAACATGGAAGCACGGCGAGGGGTGAATCGCCCATGATACCTGGGATTCGCTAAGTGGTTTCGACGGGTATGAAGATGGGTGAACATCGGAGTACCAGGGTTAACGGCGGAAACGTCGGGGCTACACGGCGGAGAAAACTTCGGGACTGCTGCCTCAACCATGATTTTTGGGTGACTTTTCTACGAAAAAAGAAAAAGTTGAAGCTGAGGGTGTTTCTTCGCTTCTTGGAGTGCGGTTGAGCCGTTGGGGGACTTCGCCTGAAGGGTCACTTTTTAAAGTCGCCTGGCAAGAAACACAGCGGCGGGGATACCTCGAACCCACGGTGTTTAAACGTACACCGCGGGAAATTCTTCACTAAAAGGGAGCGCGGGAGCAGCCGAAGTTTCGGGATTTACCTGCCGGCGACGAGCGATCGGTGAGACATCTGCAAAGCGCCAGTGGGAGTTTGCGTGTTATTTTGTTCAAACATCATCGGCGGAAGCAGTCTCGACGACGGGGTCAACGGCGTTGATGCCTCTAGGATCCGTGAAATTCGGTCTCGGAATACCCATGTCTAGTCCCCGGTTCCAGATTATGCCCCCATATGGGTTCTGGTGAACTGACGGAAACAGCTGGTGACCGAGTGGGCGGCT